GAAAAGAGGTATTTCTTTTACGAGATGACTAATTTTCATACAGTCTTCATGAACGATGATTGTAAAAGTTAGAACTACTAATTCTAAATTAAATATCAAACCCTTGTTTTAGTTGGCGGACGCGAGGATCTACGTTGACGTGGCCCCCGAGTCTGAAGAGTTGGGGGAGATAGAGAAGAGATACACAAAGGAGCTGATGAAGGAGCTGAAGTCAGCCAGCGATGATGCGCTGCTGCTCTTCAGTGAATACGCCTCCAGGTCCGGGGGAGACCTGAAGATATTCTTAAAGAATATATCCATGCTGAACTCGGATACGAAAAATTCAATGGATCGAAGTTTACTGGACAATGCGGTATGTTAGTTTTTTAAACCTAACCTTAACTTACTTCATTTAATTGATTCAATTTTGTCATATCTACGCAGCTTTTTGATCTAACTCGATAACCAATTGTATGAAACAATGTAACATTTGTATCACCGAATTAGTGATCTTTGGCATATTGTGTGTTTACATACGATACCCCGCGCTCTCTGGTCTAGATAAAGGAAGTGGGGCATCTAGAATTCCTGTATACTCATAGTGCATTAGATAACCACAGCAACACATTCATCTGGATTCATCTCGTGTACGATAATATCTGTTTGAACCACCTGTATATACACATCATGATTATACTTCCATGATATTGATAAGATCAAAAAAGTATAAAGGTCTATTTGTATAATACCAGTGTTATAATTATTTACATTGTAGTACTGTCGTGAATATTTAGCACTTAACAAACGAAACTTTCTACATTTCACTACAAAACTAATCAGCTTTATGGCGAAGCTTTGTGAGATTTTTCTCGATTCGAATGCACACAGTCATATGTATAAAGACTTATTTGTGACATAAAAATGTGTTGTAAAACATCTGAAAAATATTTTTATGACATGACCTTGAAGTGAAATGAGCACGTCGACCGTAACATTCCATCGGGCAGGTAGAATACGGTTGCATGTTAACGTACGCCTGTTTACGTAATATTTTAATAGAATGTTAATCTTGATGCCGACGAGAGATGCGAAACAACCGGCCCTAGACCCAGTAGGTACAGAAGTATATAATTCTGGTCATTACTAAATATGTAGTACAATCGCGTAGAACACGCAATTCGTATCTCATACTGTGAATTTTTTGTAAATCTTTTTTTCATCGAGAATTTTAGTTTAGAGATTTCCCTAGTGGAATATTAGTTAAACCCCCGTATCGACATTGTTGTGAAATTTAAATATATTATTTTTCACAATTATTATTTGGTTTAGGGAAAAAAAATTCCATTACTTTGGTTAATGAAACAAATTAAATAGTAAAATACGAGTAAACTCCCAACAGTCATATATTTTGTTTTAATACATATTTATCCTTTTCATCGTAAAAGTATATTATTAGGTATAAGTCTGTCCGTCAATCTGTCCGTTATTATAATTATATCGTACATAATTTTAATGTAAGGCCGTCACAATGACGTAGTGGATTTGGCAGGAGATCAATGTGGATTACTATTAAATTTTTCTTTTATTCGCGTTTGAACTACAAACAAATCTTATCTAGATATACAAGACGCTCAAATTATTTGGAATGCGAATAGAATTATTGCACTTGGTGCACGGTAAATGCGAGTTAATTGAATTATTCAAAATCAAATAAATAATGTCGAACACATATAGAACATAGTCAAACAACATGCATGATACTTATTAAGTTTTCTTTAATTCCGCGCAGACGGTGTCGCGGGAGACTGCTATTGTGTATAAAAATAATCAATTTCATTTATAAAGGTTTAAAACTAATATTGTTTTAATAAATTCAATGTCGCAGAATAATTTGCTTGACTTCAGCATTTGTTTACAATAGGTTGAATGGCAAGGTCTAGTCAGATCGATGTGCAGCCATACAATCAATTAAATGACGAGAATTGTCAACGTATTCCGGACATAAACGACATAATGGTGATTACATCTAAATTATGTTTATTATCTTTTATACATTGAAGTTAAATTTTAATCGTATTCAATAGTTTAATGTTTTTTTAAACAATCCCTTAGTGTAGATTTGTTATAATCTATACGAATGTTATAGTTATTTAAAGATCCGGTGAACAGGTTTGCTGATACCTTTTCGATCTTTGATCTTAACTTTTGATGCACTATCCTGCCAGCTCTGTGAAACCGTGGTTACCATGGTAACAGAAGATGCATCGTCTTTGATGTAACAAGGCCGTGTGTAATTCTGTCACGAGTCCGAATTATCGCTATATGTATTGCAACAAACTATTTATACTTAGTCATTATAGTGCACTCTATTATTAGTAATGACACATTTAACGTATGATTTCCATGTGTTTACACTGAAGATATACTTGTATTAAAACATATGATCAGGTTTGATAGTACGGAGTTTATTATTACTACGTTGGCAAAGTTAATCAATGGCCCAGTAGTGTGGCGACTTGCCTAAATTGCAACATGCCAAATGTCTGCAACCTTATAATGATGACTAATTACAGTTAATTAGTCATTACTGAGGGCAAAATTGTCGAGAACCATAGTGCGATTAAAATTATTTAGCGATATTAAGCGCGGGAAAACTGACAGATGAGATGCGACATAGAATATAATAAGTCAGTCACGTGTAAACAAACTAAAAAATCAAACGTCTATATTGACGAGGTCGTCTGTAATTGTGTCATGAAGTAAAATGAAGTAATGCATAAAACACAATAATGCAAGGTTATTTAATAGGATGTATGCATTATATTGTTCATAATCTTTTATAGTTTAAACATCTTGTCCAAGGATAATTGTTCAAGAATTGTTTCCGTTCTGAAATTAAAAAAAAGAACTTCAAATAGTGACCTTTGCATTATTGCACTGTTGCACTGTTTTAACAGATAATAAAAATAGTTCAAGAGAAACGAAATAGTTTTCAGTTGTTTGTCGATTGTTTATGGTTTTCGCAGTTTACGATGCGACAGAGTGAAAATGGAGGTCCAGTTTTCATGGCCCGTTATGAATAACGTGTTTGACAGTTAATGATGTACTCAGAGTAAATATATCAACACCTAAGGAATGCATAAATGATCCTTAAAATATTCCTATTTTCTTTCTACTCCGATTTTATGGAGGGACGGTTGGTATGTTTTTATGTAATTTGGGTTTGTACGTATGTAACTTGAACGACTAACCATGGGAGATCAAAATTCCGTAGTTCCAAAATTTAGTAGCCTATGTGATTTTTCAGGCTATATTTTACATCTGTGCCAAATTTCAGCGAGTTCAATCAGTCCGTTCTGGAGATAAATCATCCATCCATACAACCAAACTTTCGCATTTGTAATATTAGTAAGATTTATTGAAATGTTTGGATTTCTAGCCGTCATCATGTCGGGCCCAATTCGAACGTCGGCTGCGTAAGATAGAGTTCGACGCACACCGCGCCGCCAGCTTCAACGCTGAGAACCACCACAAATTCCTGCTCGCTCATATGATCGTGCTTAGGATGCATCTCAATAAGGTACAGTCATTTATGTTGAAGTTAAAAAATACCTCTAAATGATCTTAAATTCCGCATTTTTTTTATAAATATTTTTTTAATACAAAATACAATTGTGGATATATCGTGATTATAACTATATATCAAAAGGTTGGTTATATTTTTTTTACTATTTTTCAGAGCGAAGACTACATAAAGAAATGCGCGAATATTGTCCAAGGCTGTGGTATACCTTGTGAAGTAAGTAACTATTTTTTTTAATTACGAAAAGCGTATTATCATATTCAAATCTTACTTTTACATTCTTTATTTAAATAAAAAAAAAAACAAAATCTTCTGCGTATTTAGAAACTAATAAACCCAAGTAATTTAAATAATGGCGTTAGTTTTCATACGGACTACAGATAAAAAATTAAAGATTATATTCTGTTTCAAGACGACGCCAAAAGTGACCAGATGGCGCCGCCTAGCGTTGGAAGAGATAAACCGCGTGCGCGACGACATCTTGCACTCGCGTCGCTCCTACCGCGACTTGGTGCTGCACGGGCGACGCAGACATAACCACATACGACGGCAGGCAACAGCCAGAGCTGATGCTGCGGTCACTGAGCTGGCCGAATGTGCGAAGAGTGGAGGCACTCAGAACAAGGACGAAGATATTATTTAGATGGATCTAATATTAATTTTAACCTTTGGTTTCTGAGTTAAGAATCTCTGTATTAAAATGTATCATCATCCCAGTTACTATCTTTGGCAAAAAAGATAATAATATGTTTCAAATGAGGATTTTGGTCTGAGTAACCCACGGTTAGTTGTTTTTTCCAATACGGATGCTATGATGACGAAGAGATGTACTCTGAAACAAAAATATCTGAATAGGGAGCGTAGCGTAACATAACAGTTGAATTTCGTTGGTTTAATGTTTGATTGAGTTTTGGATAATTCTTAATTGTCGCTGTGTTATTTTGTGTATTAAGTTGTTGTAAATTATTAATTTATAAACTTTAATTCTATACACTAATTACTACGATAAACTGTTTAGGATTTTACGAATTGTAACTAAGTACAGCAGGGTGGTCAATAACAGGGGTTTTTACCTTATTGTCTTCGTCCCTAGATTAAGCGAATTTGCAGATAATTTAGTCGCTCTGTGATAGTCATCAGATTAAATTATTTTATTAATTAATATTAGTGTTAAGTTGAAATTTGAAAGTACAATTTGATTATGTCGAGTACAAGAATAAATTGTTTAAAGTATTATAAATGTATTTTTGTAATAAATGTTTCTTATTGTAGATCGATTGTTTTATTTTGGTTGACAAGAAACTACTGTGGCAGTGTATTGACTCAACTCTAGCCTTACTAAAATGTTGACGTTTGTGTCCCCTCACTATTCATTCTGACATTGGACTTTGTAACGAAAGCACGTAATTCGCGCCAAAGGATCATAAGTAATAATGTCTAAAAATACAAATAATAAAATTTGAATGACAGTAATACCGAAAAAAAATCATATTTCACGAACATGTATCCCCTTTGCTAATAACGAATTTTTCTCTGTCTGTCCGCAAATCTACATTTGGTCCAGATAATCCGAAGGCTTTGGTACGTATAAAACGTAAATCTATGTTAGTAGTGCTGACTATTGTATTTGTATTAAAACGTGTGATCTTGAACGTAATGTATGCGTTCAGAGTGCATAATAATCGATGTCGAAGCCGGTATCTACTTGGGGTTATCATGATTCACAGTACGGTCAGACAAACAAGCCGTATTCGCAACGTAAAATAAATATAATATTGTACTTTGAAATTCGGCTAAAAGTTTCAGGAAAAAGGTTGCAAACAATTTAAAGATGCAAAATAAATCATATTATAGATGAAATGAACAGGTTATAGGATGGATGAGGACACGATTTAATACAAGATATATTAAATCGTGTTTCTGTTTTGTTCATTTTCTATTATAAATTTTAAAAGATAAATTTTCTCGTCATCGTCTAGATAGAATATGCTATACGCGATTACGGATATTAAAAATAACTGGAGGTGAACTAATTAATTTATTTTTGTTGACTGTACTTGTTCTTGACTCGTAGAACATAGTTTTGCACTTGCAAGATAACTTAGAACGGATTAGTAAAGCAGTTGAACCACAATGCTCGCATATTTGTGTTGTGTTCTCATTTTTCTAACTGTACATCTTTCTACAATTCAATGTGAGGTAAGGTTTTTAATACTTATTTATTAGATAAATAAGTTAATTTAAGTAGTGAAATAAAGAATATTAAATTGAAGCTTTGATTTTTTAATAAAAGTTAAACGTAAGAAGATCCAATGTCTATTTATATTCGATTGTCATTTTTCAGTTAACACCGAATGATGTAAAGACGGTGTTACAACAATGTCAGAAAAACCTTAACACGTCACATGAGCTGGACAAGAATGACAAGCTTCTGCTAGCGAACTGGACGGCGGAATTCCAGATGAAGCAGGTCAATATAACATCTCACTACAGACTCGAAATGACGCGACACAGAGAGCATAACTTTAAGAAAGTCAATTTAAACACCAAGGTACGTAAATGTACTCCAAAGCTTATCTTTCGCAAATAGTCCAACAAACAACAATATTACAAGAACGTTGTATGTGTTTTTCGGTATTACATAGCCATTTACTTTTCATTTTAGTGGAAGGAATGTTTAAGATTACATAATAAAGAAATTAGAAATTCTAAGCGATCCTACTTCGAAAGAGAAGCAGAATGCCTGAAGGCCGCGAACTCTGCCGACAGAGATAGAACAAGAGCCGTTAAACAAGTTGAAAAGGAGGTGAGAGAGACAATTATTGCCTACTAAAATCTATCATACTTCTTACGAACAATTGTCTTGGTCACTTAGTTTGCACCATGACAACTATTTGACAATACTTTAGCTTCTAATTTTTGTCATTTTCTTCTTTCTAACTTTCAATAGAAAATGTTTATGAAATAGAATATATGTCTACTGTGCGTATTATCCTGAGTAAAAAGTGTTTGTTTCAGATAAAGAAATGGCGTAAGAGTTACAAATATTTGTCAAACTTATGTGACGTTGATAATCCAAGCGACAAAGACACTGCTGACCGATGTCTGGCCGAGTATGTGAGTAAAAACAAACACTTTAAAATCTAGAAAAAGGTCATATAATAGCGGGATGCGGGGGGAGGGAACTAGACTGCGCGTGCATAGAGTTAACAGGATATTTGGTGAGAACTATAGCAGATTATTAGGACAAGCTATATCGACATAGATGGCGCTTTTTACATATGTTTTGACATCTAATTTATAACATTGAGCTAAAAAAAAATTGCGTCTTTAGAGTTATATATATTTTCTCTTATACTTAACAGGTGAGAAGAGACAACTACGATTCTACATTTGAGAGATTGATACTTCTGAAGTTAGACACAATGTCAGATCTCTTGGACCAAATGAACCGATGCCTTAACGAGCTAGAAGACTGTTTAAGGTCGAGTTTTTCTGACAATTTGCAAAGCATTAGAGCAGTCATGAATATTTTGGGACAGTGTTATAATAGAAATAGAGAAAATTAATAAATAAAAAAAGCTAAAATGTACTTTGTTATAAATTTTAATCAGTATAAAAGGAAAATTAGAGGTTTCCTTACGTTTGAAAGGTTATTTTAATTTTAAAATAAATTAATGTTTAATACAGAGTTGAGATTTTTTTGGGAATTTTTATGGTTTTTGAGATAAGGGTTTTTTTTTATTTAAATTTGTAAATAAAACTCATTGTTCGTGTAAAAGTAATTTATTCAAATTCGTTGTTTTAAATACTTTGCAAATATAAAAAAATAGGTACATATATTTACATTTTATTGACTATAAAATACAATTTTTGTACACTTTACAACACATACTATGGCATTAAAATTATGGAAACTTTTTATAAAATCTCTATTTGTGATTTTCATTCATCGTCATACAAATTTCATTGTTTTGTTTTTAATACAAATAAAATGATTTTTCATATTAGTAAATGCATATGGAAATAATTTACGGTAAGACTTGGCACTTTATATACTTATGAAATAGAAAACATTTGATACATAGTGTTTGGAAGAAATTCCGGAAATGAGTCAGTGTATTGACTCAACACTATCCTTACTGGAGTGTCGACGTTTGTGTCCCATCACTGTTCATTCTGATACTAGGCTTTGTAACGAAAGCACGTCATTCGCGTCAAAGGATTGTAATTAATAATGTCTAAAAATTAAAGGCAAAATTTGTATAATTTTATGCAGATCTTAGTTTAACATTTCGTAAAATTTACTTCAACCAAAGTGGAGATTCTTTTTAATCAGAACATACTTATTTCTAAAATTTGTATTGTTTATTTTGACAACCGTACATAGGAATACCAGATAAATTAGGTGTTTCCCGTTGGGACGATTGACTTTTCGATAGTCGATAGGCCCAACGGGAAATTATAAATTGTATACGTAATTTACGTAAATAAAGAATGCTTTTTAGTATCGTAAAAGCTCGTATGTGATATATATCATTTACCTAAGTCACAATTATTTTAACACGTGTTGACTTATCACAAGTTAGTCTTAAATCTAGATAAATCTGACTCAAACTGCTCTAACTTAAGTACTAAAGTGGACGTTGACGATGTATATTCTAAATAATATATCCTTCATTGACTAGTTCGCTTTTGAACATGGGTCCATGAATAATTACTCCAAGTTTAGTGTTTTTTTATGTAAATTAATGACTTTTTTTAAAGGAGTATTTAATAAACTGATATTTTATAAAAGTCGCATTCGGCCCGCCGATATTCCATATAACCTAAATTTTTAAATTTTACTTGTATTATCTCTTTAGAAGTCTTAACGCCCGTTAAATAATACTTCGTCAACATGCACATTGCATTATGAGCTATATTTACAATATCCGTATAGTTCATTATTCTGTACACCTAGTGACGTCGAATATTCTGGAAAAAAAATATTATTTAGCCTCTTTAACGTTAAATATTATTCACATAGTTATTGTTTCAAGCGTTACAAAACTTTACTAAATAAAAAATAAAATCTTAATTTAAGTGAAAAAAAATATTTGTCAGAAGTGGGATTCGAACCCACGCCCACAGAAGTGGACTGCGACCTGAACGCAGCGCCTTAGACCGCTCGGCCATCCTGACTTGGTACAGAGCAGTGAAAGGACGAATTTAAATTGAACATTTTGTTAATTATCACAAAATAAAGTTTTTAGTTTACTTTCGGTCGTCTGTTTATTTTGTTAGGAAATAAAATTGATAGCAATCTTAAATATAGATTGTGATAATTTTTGTATAATTAAGAGGTATGGAGTTCTGGGTACTCACCATGACAGTGAGAGGGGGCCGAGGGCGGAGGGCCGGGGCGGAGGCTCCGGCGTGTCCGGTGAGGGCGGCTTGAACGTGCTGCCCTACAAAGTACACCAAAGTATTACATATTTATTATCTTATTCTATTGGGTTGCATTTATAACTTTGTATTTCACAGCCCTTCAGTTACTAGTGGAGATAGTTCAGAGGTAATTGTTTAATGAATAAAAAAAAAACTGTATAATTCGACTGACACTACCCGTGATAATAAAAAAAACCCAACAGAATGTCAACTCCTTTTTAAAATCTTTGTAGTTAACACTAACCTTTTGATAGAGAGGTGAATATGTTAAAAAAAACCGATAACATAATAAATATGTAATTACTGTTGTTTTGTAAGACATTACCTGGAAGCCGAGCGCGGCCTCTAGCGGCGTGGGCGAGTCCCCGCCCAGTGTGGCGTAGTCTCCGAACCGCTCAGTGGCGCGGCTGCCTTGTATAGTGGCGTACGTGTTGTCTGTCTGTATACCAAAATTTATATTCATTTAAGTAACGAAATATCATTGATATCTTGTTAAAAGCTAAATTAAAGTTATAATTGTCATCAAAAATGCCAACATAAGTGTGTAAAACGATTTTTTTTTAAGTTTGAGATTGCGAGGGATAACTGATATTTTGTACAGTGGAAGCCGTTAGTTAAATGGGCTATGCAACTTTCAAAATACGTGACTCGTATCAGTAGCGATACTGTCTAGTAAATACTAGTAAGCCCGCCTTAGTAGTAACTAGAAAGCCCGTTTGGTCATGTCTCACCTGCGGCTGGTCGACGGCGGTCTCGGGCTGGTCTCCGAACACGTTCATGGTGAGCTCCTGCTCCTCGTAGGGGCGCAGCTTGGTCTCCAGCCACAGCGGGTTCTCCGTCGTGCTCAGCTCTTCAAGGATTCTCCGCCTTGCCAAGCTGTCGCCCTTGCTCGATTGTAGCGACGGCGGCGGGATCACCCTGATGAGTTTAATGTTAATTTTAAAATGTTTTGATATTTTATTTTCGTGCTTAAATGCTTGTCACTTGAATACGTACCAGTGTTTAAGACAAGCGCACACAACTACGAAGGTGACGATGCCAGTGAAGAGCACAATGAGCAGAGCTATGAGTGCGGCGAGCGCGGGGTCGAAGGTGTCCGGCTGCGCGGCTGCGCTGGCGGCCACCAGCGTCTCCACACCGAACTCCTGGTACACGTCCTTCAGCTGGTCGTACTTGCCGTCGATGGCCTGCAGTACTCGCTCCACCGGCAGCACCTCGTACGTTGCCGGGTCCACCGCGTGCAAGTGGATCTCACACCTGTTATACATGTATTTACTGCACTCGGGGTCCGAGATATGGGAGTTCTTTAGTAATCGTAAGCGATGGCTTCGTGTTAATTTATCTTACAAACTGTTTTAGGAGTCGCTAAACGGTCTCTCTTACCGATTTATTATAATAAATCTACACTAAAGGAAATTTTAATACGGCAATGACTCAATAATGAAGTATGAATCCTTAGGGGCCAGAAATGATTCTAGGTTTCGCAATTAAAGAGATCAACAGAAGTAACACTATACCCGTCACGAAATTCTCAAACGAGACATTTAAGTGATAAATTCAAGATAACGTAAAGTTTAGGACAACTAATATTTAAGAAAAAATTACATCTATTTCAAAATTTAGAACAGCGCCATCTAGTTCCAAATATGGATAACATAATTTATAAAAAAAACAATGAGTGGTATCTCACCAGTCATCATGCAGCCTGTCAGCCTGCACCAGCGGCAGGCGGCGGCCCGGCACCAGCAGCGCGCCGCCCGCCGCCTGCAGCCGCTCCCGCACCCCGCCCGCGCTCGCCGCGCAGCTCCGCGACACCACCAGCCGGATCAGCGACGACCGCTCTATTATCCACAGCTGGACACCAAGCACCGGTAAATACATTTCATTACAACATTTAGACATCCTCTACAGTCTTGTGCTAGGCTAAGCGTGCAAGCGCCCGCCCATATACATCCGCAATTGCAGATGCCTTTCCAACCCTTAATCGACGGAGGAATGGATACATATATAAAGAATATCACTTTCCGTGTCAGTGCGCGTGCAACAGACGTTGTTGCTGTCTTTTACCACTGTTAATGGGTTATCAAAACCCCCTCGGGGTCATCAAGTAGTGAAGCTAGAGTCCCGAGATATTTTAAGGAACGCACTAAAACTACAGTGCTGATCCTAGCTAACCCCCATTGAATAGCACTCTGCAGTAAGTAGACAGCAGTCAGGAGTACTCACATAGACCTTGGCGGTGGCGCGGCGGTGAGGCGGCGCCAGCTCCTGCGCGATCACGTCCAACACGAACCTGTCCTGGTTGTACTCCGACATGAACGCTGCGGTCATCAGGACGCCTGGACACCACATCACAAAATAAATACCGCGTAAATGTATTCTAGCGATGTCAATTTCTTTCATTAGACTTTTGGTAATAATAATTTAGTGGAATATCGCGACATTCATACCGTCCTGCGTAATATTGAAGGGCGAGGGCACGACGCTGCCGCTGGAGCGAGCCGCGCCGAACTTGTAGAGATGTGAGGCGGCCACCACATACACCAGCGTGCCGTTCTCGCGCAGGTCCGGGTCGCTCGCCGCCACTGAGATGATCGGCTCGTTGATGCGCGCCGTCTGCTTTATACCTGCATGGAATATCACAAATTAACATGTCAGATCAAAGAATAACCAGACAAAACTCAGATTGCAAAAGTAGTGGTAATGCGGAAAAATAATCTTTGGCTCACTGTAGATGTCAGCTTAATCATGAGCGGCTAAACATACCACAGGTATAAAAAAACACTTTATTTTACATTCTCATTACTCTTTAGACCGTAGTCATCCCCAGAGATCCATCTACTTAGAATTTCAGTTTTTCTCCCCATTGATAATGATTAATAACTGGCTAAAGAAAGATGGTTTCTTGAATACGTGCCCATTTATTAAGTTCGAATAACTAGAGAAGCATTTTGTATGAACTCATCTGTGGTTTTCTTTATAAATTTAAAAGGTTATAAAATCCTTCTTACCGGCATAATAAACGTCTTGTCCGAATTTCGGTTCATTGTCGTTCTCGTCGAGTATGGTAACACCGAGGGTGGCAACACTGCCATCTTGGCTGTCAGTGCTGTTGTCTATGGAATTCAAGATGGCCGCCGCGTGCTCCAGTATCGGATTGTTGCTCGCATATATCGTCATTGTGTATTCGTCTTGCTTTTCTCTGAGAAACAAATTGTTGAATTAAAATTTAAAGTGTAACTAATATTTGAAGTAATACACGTAAAAAATATTATGGTAAAACTACACTAAGGTACCGCTTAAATAACCGTTAAATGATTTTAAGTTTTAGTTTTCTTTCTCTGTTTCATTATATATGTATAATCCTAGTATTGGTATTTAAAGTATTACACAATAAGTTCGCTTGGGAAAGTTACCTGTCGAAGGAAGTGTTAGCTCTGAGGATGCCCTGCGTCCTGTCCAGTGTGAAGGCGCCCTCGCGGTTGCCCTCCAGCACGTGGTAATACACCTTGCCGTTGTCTCCGGAGTCTTTGTCGATGGCTTTTACTGACCCTACAGGTTAATAATACGTCTGTAGAATTTCTCTTAGAGTAGAACATTTTATCAAGACAAGCGAAGAGAACTGTTTACTATCCCACAATCTATACAATTTTATGGTACACTTCAAAGAACTAATCGTAAAAAATCAATTTTATACAAAAAAATATTAACGATTTAATTTCATTATATTTTTTTTCTAACGCCATCTGTTGGATAATTATAAAATCCAAGATCTATATTTTTTTCCGTTATATTTTACAAATTCTTACAAGTTGGAAAGCTCTGCGAGCTTTTCTAAAGCAACACTTTTTGCTTGTGTTATCTTACCTACTATAATCCCTGGGGACAAGTTCTCAGCGAGGGTGAATTGGTAATGTCTTTGCGTGAAGCGCGGTGTGTTGTCATCATCGTCTGCCAACACCACGGTCAGCAGGCGCAGGCTCTCGAACTGCGCCGGAGTGCCATTGTCTACTGCAGCTATCACCAACTGTACATAAATATTAGGTGTTTATTTCATAAATCAAACAGTCTACAAAACCTAGAGTATTTGTTCTTTAGGAGGTGTGTAGGTGTCTGTATGTAATCAAAAATTTTGTCCGCCTGTCCGCATATCCGCGTTTATTCCGGGTAAACGCCGAAATGTTTGTGTCAATTTCTACGGGACTGACGAGATGTATGAGGCCATATCAAGGGTTACTTTTTGCTGAACTGATGAAGTCACAGGCAACCACTAGTTAAGTATGTTTCAACTACATAAATTACCTGATATTCAGCTTTATGCTCTCTATCCAGGAATGTTTTAGTCCTGAGTTCCCCTGTGTCAGTATCCAGGCTGAACTCCGGAGTGTCGCGCACGTTGCGGTTGTCAACCTTCAGATAATATGAGACGCGGCCATTCTCTCCGCTATCAGCGTCGGTTGCTTTTATTGTTGTTATCAAGTAGTCTGCTTGAGCTGCGTTCTAAACAAAATAAAAAATAGAAAAATGTTCAAAAGAGTTCTTTGGTTAAAACAGAATTATTACTAGATACCTTTGAACATAAACTGGCGATGGCGGCTAGACCTTGGTTAATAGAGCCCTATCATTTATTATTTCCTAACTTCAGTTTCGCAGCGCCATCTATTGTTGTAAACAAAAAACCTCTTGGTGGACCAAAATGTTTCTAACCTCTGGTATCTCTATCTGCCGCTGGTCGGGCGGCGGATGCACAAACACTGGGCTGTGCCGGTTGACGCTCAGCACCGCGATGTGCACGCGGGCTCGCGCCGTGTACCGCCCGTCGTCCGCGCGCACTGTCACCTGGTATGTGGCGTTGCCGCGCACTGCCTTCGCCGGGTAGATGATGCCGTTAGTAGGTTCCACTCTGAATGTATCTGTGGTGAAGTTGAAACATTGGCATATCAATCATATATTTCTGTGGAAATTAAAAGAAAAAATAACACGGAGAATTTCCTCATATTCGAAAAGTTTTTTTTTCAATTGAACATTAAATAAGTATTTTAGAAATAATTTAAGTACCTCGAGAGCTTCTACAATAACTATTTTATTTCAAGGATAAATTAAATAAATTTTAAAATTTTATATGTATTAAAGTGCCATCTAATTAAGAAAAGTGCAAGTTTACCAGGTTCGCTCTGCTCCTCAATGCTGTACTGGACCTTTCCGTTGATGCCTTCATCTCTATCCTCAGCTAGCACCTGCAGGATGGCGGCGGGCGGCTCCAGCTGCAGGTTCTCAGCGATAGTGCTCTTGTACACCTTCTGACTGAACACTGGCGCGTTGTCGTTCTCGTCTATCACTTTTATGTGGACCTAGAATGTAAATTTTCACAAAACCTTTATATTAATGATACACCAACGCATAACTGTTTCATAAATTTAGATAAAGCTTAGTCATAAAGTATCTGCAATTTGGTGATAAACAAAAAACAACCTTATTACTACTGTGTTAAAGGTTTGTTTTACAGTGTTTTGAATTCCACAGAGTAGTGCAATATGTTCTTAACTAATCATATATGTCCAGTATACATACAGGAACGCTAGTAGTTTTCCTAATCTGTGGCGGCGCATTGTCAGTTGCCACCGCCCGCAGGTAGATGTCAGTGATGTTCTCTCTGTCGATGACAGCGCCCTCTGCCACCGATATCACGCCCGTGTTTGTGTCGATTTTGAACAAGTTGGATAGTTCTCCGGTAATATTGTAGGAAACTTCACCGAATTCACCTGTAAAAAGTATTATTACATTTATTTGATTGCTGATTTGTGGTCCGAATTCTTAATTCAAAAGTTTTTTTCTTTTTTTATCCAAATATAATAAGTTTATGTTAAAGTACTTGACTTATTTATTCGTTTTATTTTTTATTTTGGATTGAAATTAAATATTACTCATCAAATACAAGTTGAAAACTTGTCAGAGTTTCAAGGTCAAGCTAAGAAAAGTATAAGTACCTTCATCTTTATCAAGGGCAGTGACAGTCAACACACTAGTAGCAGCGTCAGCATTCTCGAGCACAGCCGCGTCGTACTCGGCAGCGGCGAACACTGGCTCCTCGTCGTTCACGTTGACCACATCAATGGAGACGGCGGCGGGTGTGGAGCGCTGCGGCACGCCGGAGTCGTACGCCACCAGGGTGAAGTTCAAATGCTTCACTTGCTCGTAGTCGATACGTTGCGCTATCTTCACTACGCCTGTAAATATCGTATGTATACTGACTTGCAACAAGAATGGGCCGGTATCTGTAACTTTCCAAATATATAACTTTTTCCTTTTTTATTATTTTCTTTATTAAATTGTATATATAATAATTATTATATGTTGTATTGTTTCTAAAATGAATGTTCCTTTTTGTCTTTGTAATTGTTAACATATAAAACAAGTAAACAAATATATGAACTGACCAGTAACATTATCAATATGGAAGTATGGCGAGGGCGGGTATATAAGAATGGAGGCGATGGGCGTCTCCCTGTCAGTAGCGGTGTAGGTGTTGAGCACTGTGCCCACAGGCTGCTCCTCCAGCACCGACTCCAAGTACGCCGGCTCCGTGAACACGGGCCCGTAGCGGTTCACATCCACTATCGTTATTATTACTTCACCTGGAATAAGAACACTAGGATAAATTCAACTTTCTAATTCTATTCAGTATAGGAGGATTACAAATGAGTTTTTAGATAGATTGATATAAGGGAATAATATTTATAAGGGCCTATTTGTGACTCATATCTTAAATAGCTCGATCTATTAAGTGTGAACATATCAATTTATTTGTATTTATTTGGAGTATCATAGGTTGAGCAGGTTTTATAGATTTTTTAATAACATCGATTTATTGTAATAGAAAGACCAGTGTCATATATCAAATGGTCACCCTTAAAATAGGTTTAATAAGAAAAAATCCTAAAAAAGGGCAGTTAATTTAAATCATAGTGAAAGTGTACCATATGAGCGCTGCAGCGAGGGCGCGGAGGTGTCAGTGACCTGCACCGGCAGAGTGACGACGGCGGCCATGTTGCGGCGCAGACCTCCCGCCACCACCACCTCGCCCGCACTCAGCACTGAGAACCACGACACCAGCGCCCCCACATCCACCACCTGCGTACAGATAACTATCATTCATTACCAAAGACACTTTTATTTTTTTAAATTATAAGGTGGCAAACGAGCAGCCACTTGACAAAGCAATCGCTACTCAAAGACATCCGCCATTGCCTACCTGAATCGAATTCAAAGAAATTGATTTTAAAGAAACAAAATTATCAATTTACATCATAAAACATTCGAAATTATATATTAAGTTGATATTTTGTCGACCAAATGGTTTTTTATTTATACTGACCTCGTTTCCATTTGTATCAACAGCACGTATGGGCGTCTCTTGCGATATTTCAAACAGAAGCTGACTGTGGTCCGTGATATCGGGGTCGACAGCGACCAGTTTATGTAGGACTGTGCCGACCTCCGCGTCCGCTGACACCTCGGCTCTCTGCACGCTGGGCGTGAACACAGGTTTTTTATCGTTCACGTTGATCACATGGACTGTTAACTCCGTGGTACCAGTCAGGCTCGGGATACCTGAGAAAAATTAGTTCGTACTTTAAAATTACTGTATAATTTTTAAATTACATTTTATAAACTTCTTTTTTGCTTGGTTTCTGAGTCAAAAACCATGCATAAAATATGTCATCATTCCTCTCATTATCTTTGATACCAATATGTTGTAAGAATGGATTTGGTCTCAGAAATCAACGATAAATGAACATTACAAAATATATTAATACCCATATCAGTGGCGATGATTTGTATCCTATACGTGTTCCTCTTATCGTAGTCGAGTTTGGCGGAGACTGTGACGACTCCGGTGTGGGGATGTACCGAGAAGGAGTCCAGCGCCCCCTTCTGCACCGCGTATGTAAACTGCGAGTTGATACCGCTGTCTAAGTCTGTAGCTCGCACTGCCGCTACCTCCGTCCCTGTACAACATCATACTAATATTATAAATGCGAATGTTTAGATGGATAGATGGATGGATGGATGGATGGATGTTTGAAGGAATCTCCAGGACTGCCGCATGAATCTCGCTAAAATTGGGCATAGACGTAAAACATAGCGTGGAAGAACACAGGCTACTAATTAATATTTTTTTCAATTCCTCGCAGACGGAGTCTCAGTCGACCGCTAGTATTAAATAAAAACGTAAATAATACTGACCAATGGGTGCGTCCTCCGTGACGTCAGCGTCATATTTGTCGGTGTCAAATGTGGGCGCGTGATTGTTGACGTCACGCACCGTCACCTCCACACTGCACGTCGCGTTGTGCACGCCATCTGTCGCCTGCCATACAACAACCATTTTTTAAATCCCTTCTTATATTACATCATACTCAATCTTCTGAGAGCTTCATATAATTGAATTCTTTTTTGTAATTGTGTTTTTTGTAGCAAATAAATTTTAAAATCATTGCACGGATTTCAAAAACTCCTTCACCATTAGATTGGTACATTATTTCATAATAGTATCTATCTCTTGGCTGTCTCGCATGCGAAGTAAGTACGGACAGGTCTGACTTACCAGCACAGTGAGTACGATGAGGTTGTTGTCAGTAGAGTTGACGGAGGTGATCTCCCCCCTGACGGCGATCTTGCCCGACTGCGGGTCGATCCAGAAAGGATTTCGTGGCGGGTAGATAATGGAGTATCGGATGTCTGATGATACGTCCACATCCCGCGCTTGAACCTAAAACAAAATATATATAAAAATAGCAAACTTTTTAGTGGATTATAACCCTAACTGCAGCATTCAGAGTCGTTACCTGGTCACTAAAGTAACAATCGTATGCTAGCTAGGAGTTAACGACTCTGCTGTACGAGAGTGATTGCGGCGGTTAATTTCTATAATATTATTTTGTTTGTACTAATGTACTAATTGCCTATAAATACCTGTAGTTCAGGTTCAAATTTGACAGCGTCCTCGTCTATGGATGCCTTGTACACGGGAGTGAGAAAGACAGGCGCGTTGTCGTTGGAGTCGGAGAGGGACAGCTGCAGCGACGCCACCGTCGTCTGTCCGTTGCCGTCCTCGTCTGTCGCCTGGGGAGAGAAAGAGACAAATGGTGCGAATATTGAATAGAAGTGAGTTTTATAAAAAGCAATAATATTCAACAACAATACAATATATAATAAATGTAAATACTTTATACTGCAAGAAGTAATCCTTTCGCGTCTCGTAGTCGAGACATGGCGGCGTGCCGGGCGTCGCGCACTCGGCCACCGAGATGACTCCGCTGCGACTGTCCACACGGAACAGCTCCGCCCCGCTGCCAGACAGCTCGTACACTATGCCCTCTGTACCATACCTGGACACAGAAAACAATATATACAAAGTTGAAACTAAAAAGCAGCATATTTGTTACAACGGAATTTTCCTAAAAAATGCATTTTATTTTTTCATTTGACAAAGATTTATTTACAACATGATTTATGTTTAAAGCAGTATTTTACCGTCCAGTATCCCTGTCAGTGGCTCGGAGTGCAGTGACACGCGTCCCTGGGGGCGCAGCCTCAGGTACACTAGCGGCGTGCGGCTCGTCCGGGAAGTGTGGAGCATTGTCATTTACATCCCAGAGGGACACCGTCACGCTCGCCTTCGACGACAGCTTCGGTGATGTGTGTACTTCTTCTGCTATAACCTAGAAGAAAGAGAATATTTAACAATTTGTAAAAGCACATGAAAATTAGCGCCATCTATTGATGATTTTACAAAAGTTAGCACTATCTATTGATGTTTACATCTAACGCCATCTATTGCTCAGTAGCTAAAAAAATCACGGACAAACTAAAAACTATTTGCAGCTTTGGAGACGGCGGTCACCGGTCACGCTTAATATCAATCATTTATATTTCGGAATAGTATTCGTTGACAATACCAAA